CGGGGGATTTCAGTCCGGTGTTTACCAGAGGATGGTCTCGATCTCCTGACCTCGTGATCCGCCCGTCTCGGCCTCCCAAAGTGCTGGGATTACAGGCTTGAGCCACCGCGCCCGGCCTCATGCCCGGCTCTTAATCCAGCTTTCAAAGCTGGCTGTCTCTCACTGACCTCAGCTCCAGTCATTCCTTGCTTCCACCCCTGGCCTCCCATGCTTAGCCACCCTAAACCACTAAAGCCCTAGACCATCCATCTGGCTCCTGTACTTGGGTGCATCTGATCCTGTGTCCTGGAAGGCACCGACTCTAACACCTTCCGGGTCAAGGGGCCTCCTTGTTTGGTGCTGCCCCACCCCCAACCCTGTCAGCGCTAGAGTCCTCTCTTCCACAGGGCCGATCACACTGGGTCCCGCTGTTCCCTTGTCTGCCTCCCCACCAGACCAAGCTCCAAGCTGCCAGGGGCCTCGTCTCCATCTGGGTCCCAGTTCCCACCACAGAGCTGGGCATGGAGGATAGCTCAGGGGAGCTTCTTGGGAAATGAATTCTGGGAATTCTCTCTGCCAAGGACCCGCTGTGCTAAAAGCCTTAAGGTGAGTTTAACCCTAGCCAGGAAGTTCCCTGGATGCCTCCCTAGCCCAAGGGGGAGCCTGGCCAGGGCGTCCTGATCCAGGTGCAGGCAGAGTGCCTCAGGGTCCTGCATGTCCACCTGGCACCCGCTCACTCTTGCATACCTGCCCAGTTGGTCTGACATGCTAACACCTACCTAAAAATCCCCCACTCCCACCTCAAAACAGCCTGGGGCAGAGGGGCAAACCCACCCCAGGCTCCTTTCTCAGGACACATGGGTAGGATCCCGTGTTCCCATCATTACCTGGCTTCCTCCCCACCCTGCAATGGCCACTTAACCAGTTGGAAGACCTTGAGCAGATCCCTCCTCCCCTTATTTCCCTTAGGTTGATGGGAAGCAGCAGGCTCTCCGCACGTCATGAGTGGGGCCACAAAACGCCCTTCTGCCAGGCTGCTGGCTCGGCACCTTCTGGCTGTGCTTAAGCCAGGTGGTTAGTTTGGTACTCAGCACCACTCCACAGCAGGTGAGAGTCCTGCGGTGGCTTTGGGAACTCCAGGGGCTAGCTGGCTGCTTGGGTGGATTCCCACAGCTGCCCGGCAAGGTGATGGGTCTCACACCTATCTTTCCAAACAAGGGAAGGGCCTGTGCAGAGCCAACTTGAAAAGTGGCCAGGCTGGGGCTTGAACCTGGAACTGTCAGCTACAAAGCTCACATGGCTCCTGCAGCACCGGGTGCCCAGTCCAGAGGCCAGGAACAAGCTCGATGGGGGTTACGGGGCATTCCTAGGGAGCTGGGGACACTGGGAGTCTATAGAGCAGCATTGGGGTTGCAAGATCTGAGACAGACTGGTAGGCAATAAGCTCTTGGCCCCAGAGCCCACGCAGGAAGCTGCCCTTGAGTGCCTCCCAGTCCCCCTTCCCCCCAGGTGAATGTCTACTTCGAGGCCGGCTCAACAACCATCTTCAGAGAGCCCTCCCACGCCAGCCACAGCCTGTCTACCAGCATCACCCACTATCTAGGTTTTTGCCCATCATGTGTCAAAGGCAAAACAGAGGGGTGGGTATGACGCACGTGCATCAGCCCAGGGGCTGGTACATGGCTGGCGTCCAGGTAAGGCAGGCCTGGGGCACACAGCTCCCACCCTACTCTAAGTCCACATTAGGCAGCCAGGCCACCTCAGGCTTGGAGGGGAGGACACCAAAGGGGCAGGCCTTACCAGCAGTCAGAAACAGACCTACACCCCAGTGGGTACCCAAGGCTTCTTTCCTTAGGCCCATCCCCTTTAGGAAGTTGGGAAACACACTGGGTGAGCCCAAAGGCTACCAAAGCCTGGCTGTCTGGAGAGGCTAGCTCAGAGTCAGCCCTGGGGGCTCCTGGGCCTCGGAAGGGCACACCCTGCCTCCCTCCAGGCCCACCTCCAATCCCTTCCCGCTTCCAGCTGGGCCAGGGGAGCAGGAAGACCCCTGGAGCACCGGAAGCAAGAAAGAGGCAGGCAGGGGCGGCTAGCCAGGTTTGTGCTCGGACTATATTCACACAGAGACACGTGGCAGCTTACATTGGACAAAATGAGTAATAAAAATTGGCTTTAAATATGGAAAAAACAAGGCCCTGTAATCCCATGCTACCCTAACACTGAGACCAGGATGGCCATCACAGTCTGGGAAGGGCCAGGACTGGGGCCTGGGGCACAGGCACAGGCACAGCCTTGCCCTATCCCTTTCACCCACACAGGTACACACGCGCGCGCACACACCCCACAGGTGCACACAGGAAGGGGCGAATTATTGCTGGGCACGTGTCTATTGTTATGAGGGGAGTCTGGAATGTTTGAGGGTTGACCAGGGATGCCCCACCCCCTCCTAGGGGCTGGGCTCCGGCATTTCTGAAAGAGGTGTCTCCAGGACAGGGCCCAGCATCAGGGACCAGGCCCTGGGAGCTGGAAGGCAGAGGCAAACCTATCTGGGCCGGCCGGGGCAGTGGGCTGACGGGTCTCACAGCCGGCCCAATCTCTGGACACTTTGGCACAGGCCTAGGGGATACAGAGGCCCCAGATCCATCTCTGACAAGCACTGAGAAGGGACAGCTTTGGGCCCCAGAGAGTAGCAGCCTGAGCCCAGGGCAGCGGGAGCAGGCACGAGTCTTACTCAGAGGCCGGGGGTGGCCAGCACAGTGCTGAAGGCTCAGGGGTGTGAGCACCCTCAGCCGTCCAAGCTGGGCTGGAGGAGCCTTGAGTTTGGCAGTGGCTCCTCTGCCAGCTCCCACTCTCCCAGCTAGGGCTGGCTGCCCCCAGGAGCCAAGGCAGGCGCCAGGTCTGCGGCGGGAATTAAGAATGCTCTGGTCGCTATATACATTCGTACAAATACATAAATACAGAAAGCCCCGAGCTCCACAGAGAAGAGCTGAAGGGACGCACCTTTGTCCCAGGGACGGCCCAGGCCCTGCCAAACTCAGCCAGGCCAGGGGCTGAGGGGTGGAGGACACTGGGGACAGCTCCGTCTGTGTTCCCCAGGCCACGACTTGAGTGGACAATGGGGAAGACCACTGTGCAAAACTGTAAACGGCGCTCGGAGTAGCTGCTACCGCCAACTGCCGGTGGGGGCCTCGGACTGGGGGCTAGAGGCGGGTGGGGAGCTCTTCCTCGCTGTCGCTGCAGTTTCCACAGCAATCCTGGAGGGACGGGGAAGACACGGAGGGAGGGAGAGAGGCAGAGCAGGTGCTATTAACCACCAGGGACGTCACATGGGGCCGACCCTGCCAGGGTAGGCCAGGAGCTGCCTGGGGGGCACACTCTGGGGAGGGGCCTCTCCACGAGGAACCTGGAGCAGCAGCTCAGGCCACACGTGGGTGGGTGTCATTGCAGAGGCTGCTAGCAACAGACTGAAGTAAGGGGGCTGGGTAGATCCCAGCCCTCTCCCCTGGGGCTGGCAGAGACAGGGCACGGGGAGACAAGCTAAGCAAAGCTGGCAGCTCCAAGGGGCCAGGGTGCAGGGAATCGAAGCAGTGGGCAGGGGGAGTGGGGCGGGCACCAGACTTCTTTCTCCCACATCTTGCCTCTGCCATGGAAGGGCTGCCCGTGGCTCCCCGAGGCCAGGCAGAAGGCCAACCCACGGGGAGCCCACACTGCTCACCTCTGGAAAGAGAAAAGAGGCCATGAGCCCAGCCAGGGGTGGGGGACAGGCGGGAACGAGGCCAGAGACCCTGGGCACCGCAACAGGGCTGGAGGATGCCCACTCCCAGTGCATGCGGGCACCGGCTCTGCCTCCCACCCGCCATCCCCTGGAGCCAGGCTGGGGGCCCAGGTCGGCCGATGCTGGGGCTTACTTGGCGACTGAAGAGTCTCTGCAGCAGTCCCTTTTTAGGGGGTGCAGGTGGCTGGCCCCTCCAGTCCAGGTCTGGGGGGACTGAGCCATCCAGCCCAAAGACATTCAGCTCCTGGAAGCACTCGGTCTCCACCATCTGCTGAGGAGCAGGCAGCTGTGACATCTGTCCCCAGGGCAGCCTCCTGGAGCCCACCCCACCAGCAGGCCAGGCCCCCACCTCGTTCTGCCAGGGGATGGGCACACTGCCAGTGGCAAACTTCTGGTAGAAGTCCTGGTCAGTAGGCTCCAGCTCCACGCCCTTGACTGTAGAGAACTGTTCAATGTCCAGAACATCCTTGCAGTAAATGGCCTGGGGCTGGTGGGAGAGAGGCAGTGGTCAGATAGGAAACACACACAGACACGCACACGTGAAGGCAGCTCAGCCCTGATTCTGACTTGGGTCTTGGCCTGGTGCTGCCCTGACGCCAGCAGCTCTCTGATTTGGAGTCAGAAACCAGGTGCCCCACGCACTTCCTAAGCGGGGCAGGCCCTTCTCTCCGAAGCCTGGTTTTCCCCTCTGTGAACTGGGTACATTATTCCTCACTGCTCAATGGTTGTGAGGCTGTGTAAAGGCCAACGCCAGGCACCTCCTTCGCCTGCCACATCTTGCCTCTGCCATAGAAGGGCTGCCCGTGGCTCCCCGAGGCCAGGCAGCAAGGCCAACCCATGGGGAGCCCACACTGCTTCCTGGGTATGCAGTTGGGGTGGGGAGTACAGGCTGAATCTCAGCTGGCCGCTCGGCTGGGCACCGCCACGCAGAGCCTGGAGATGGTGACTCCTTGGCTCCCTGCCCTGCGATGACCTGGGATTTGCTCCGTCTTCTCTCCCAGCCAATCAGAGGACTGGCAGTCTCCCACCGCTCCACCTCCGCAGACCCACGCTGGGAGCCCATCTCAGCTCCAGGAGGCCACCTTCTTTTTTATCTTAACATGGTTTTCTAAATCCTTCAAATAAGATGTCAATTAAAATATCATCGTCATGTAAAATGGTGCAGCGGCTTTGGAAAACAGTCTGGCAGTTCCCCAAAAAGTTAAACATCATTACCATATGACCTGGTAATTCTATTCCTAGGTATAGACCAAGAGAAATGGCAGCATCTGTCCACACAAAAACTTGTACATGAATGTTCACAGCAGCAATAACAGCCAAAAAGTGGGAACAATCCTAATGTCTACCAACTGACGAACAGGTAAGTAAAATGTGGTCCATCCATGCAATGGAATATTATTCAGCCTTAAAAAGGAATGAAGCACTGATCTATGCTACAACATGGATGAACCTTGAAGATATTACGCTAAGTGAAAGAAGCCAGGCACACAGGATCACATACTGTGTGATTCCATAGCTATGACACGTCCAGAACAGGCAAACAGAGAGAGACAGAGAATAGACTGGTGATTGCCAGGAGCAGCTGGAGGGAAGAATGGAGAATGACTGCTAAGGGTATGGGTTTTTTTTTTTTTTTTTTTTTTGCAAAGTGGGGCAGGTAATGAAAACACTCAAAAATTTATTGTGGTGATGACTGCATAACTAAAAAGCCAATGAATTGCACTTTTTTTTTAAGATGGAGTTTTGCTCTTGTTGCCCAGCCTGGAATGCAATGACATGATCTCAGCTCACCGCCACCTCTACCTCCTTGGTTCAAGCGATTCTCCTGCCTCAGCCTCCCAAGTAGGTGAGATTACCGGCATGCGCCACCACACCCGGCTAATTTTTGTATTTTTAATAGAGACGGGGGTTTCACCTTGTTGGCCAGCTGGTCTCGAACTCCTGACCTCAAGTGATCCGTCCACCTTGGCCTCTCAAAGTGCTGGGATTACAGGCATGAGCCACCACGCCCAGCCGAATTACACATTGTAAATGGGTGAATTGCATGGTATATAAAGTATATAAATTAAACTCAAAAAAGCTGTTAAAAAAAATCATCATCAAGCTTGCTTTTCATCGACTGCTTCTACAAAGTTAAACTCCAGGGCACTAATTTTATCTCCAACTTTGAATGGAAGATCCAGAGGCAGTGTGGTTATTTCAAGGTTAAATGAAATGATGAACACAGGAAACAGAACAGACTGAGTGATGAGTGGCAGTGCCAGCCTCAGGGGCGAGCTGGCAAAAGTCAGGTTGTCCTAGTTCAAGTGCCTCTGACAGGGCCCACCTTTGCTTTGGAAAACAGTCTGGCAGTTCCCCAAAAGGTTAAACATAGTTACCATATGACCCGGTAATTCTATTTCTAGGTATAGACCAAGAGGAATGGAGGCCAAAGCGAACGGCTTACCTGAGGTCAGGAGTTCGAGACCAGCCTGGCCAGCGGTTCCAGTGAGGCCCATGTGAGGCAGTCACTCAGGGCAGTAACCCCCTCGCTGGCGCCCCCACTTCCACTCACACCCACTATGGCCCACTCCCCATACCTCACATTCCTGCCCAGGGTGCCCCACTGGTCCCGTCTTGCTGAGAACCTGCCTGCACTCCTCTGCCTGCACGGGCTCACTCAGCCACACAGGTGTCCTCGCAGCTGCTGCCCCTCACGGGGCTGGCCCCTGCCTCAGGACTGCAATGCCTGGCTGTTTCTTCTGCCTGGAATGCTCACACCCCAAATCTTGGCGTGGCTCTCTGCTTCACATATTTTACATTTCTGCACCACCATCACCTCCCCAGAGACCACCGTGTCTAAAAGTACTCCCCCCACCATCATTCTCTGCCATCTTCGTAGCTTGCTTTAGTTTTCTCTTTTTTTTTTCCTATTTATTTATTTATTTTTTTGAGACAGAGTCTCGCTCTATCGCCCAGGCTGGAGTGCAGTGGCTCGATCTCCACTCACTGCAAGCTCCGCCTCCCGGGTTCTCGCCATTCTCCTGCCTCAGCCTCCCGTATAGCTGGGACTACAGGTGCCCGCCACTGCGCCCGGCTAATTTTTGTATTTTTAGTAGAGACAGGGTTTCACCATATTGGCCAGGATGGTCTCGATCTCTTCACCTCGTGATCTGCCCGTCTCGGCCTCCCAAAGTGCTGGGATTACAGGCTTGAGCCACCACGCCCGGCCTTTTTCTTTTTTTTTTTTTTTTGAGACTAAGTTTTGCTCTTGTTGCCCAGGCTGGAGTGCAGTGGTGCGATCTCAGCTCACCGCAACCTCCTCCTCTCGGGTTCAAGCGATTCTCCTGCCTCAGTATGCCGAGTAGCTGGGATTACAGGCATGCGCCACCACACCCAGCTAATTTTGTATTTTTAGTAGAGATGGGGTTTCACCATGTTGGTCAGGCCAGTCTTCGAACTCTCAACCTCAGGTGATCAGCCTGCCTCAGCCTCCCAAAGTGCTGGGATTACAGGCATGAGCACCGCGCCCGGCCAGAGACGGGGTTTCACCGTGGTCTGGATCTCCTGACCTCGTGATCCGCCCGTCTCGGCCTCCCAAAGTGCTGGGATTACAGGCGTGAGCACCGCGCCCGGCCAGAGACGGGGTTTCACCGTGGTCTGGATCTCCTGACCTCGTGATCCGCCCGCCTCGGCCTCCCAAAGTGCTGGGATTCCAGGCGTGAGCACCACGCCCGGCTGCTTGCTTTAGTTTTCTTTATCACACTTAACATGACCTGGAATTCCTTCTGGCTTACTGGTTTATTTGGGTGTGTCTCCCACTAGAATATAAGGGCAGGACTGGCTCCAGTGGGCCTCATTATCTCCAGGGTCTGGCATAAATGGGCACTCAGCTATTTGCTGAATCAATAAACGTGTGTCAGCTATCAGCCGGGCCTGCCCTGCCCATCCTTCGGGCCTCTCCAGTGTTACTGGTGAACCGTTAATTACAGGACCCGGTCCTCACAGACAAGGGAAGGGGAAAGCACATGACCTCATCTTAGCCAGTCAGAACCGTCCCTGTGACTGTCACACAGAGAAGCCTAATTCATGGGGGAGGGAAAGAGTCAACAGGTTGAAGGCAAGGCAAGAGCTGGAGAATCCTGGCACACAGCAGAAAACCCTGAAGCTGGCCCTACTTTGGGACTTTCTGGCCAAATGAACCAATACACTCCATGTTGAGCTCAAGTGAGTTTAGGCTGGTTTTCTTTTTTTTTTTGAGACAGAGTCTCGCTCTGTCACCCAGGCTGGAGTGCAGTGGCTGGATCTCAGCTCACTGCAAGCTCCGCCTCCCGGGTTCCCGCCATTCTTCTGCCTCAGCCTCCCGAGTAGCTGGGACTACAGGCGCCTGCCACCTCGCCCGGCTAGTTTTTTGTATTTTTTTTTTAGTAGAGACGGGGTTTCACCGTATTAGCCAGGATGGTCTCGATCTCCTGACCTCGTGATCCGCCCGTCTCGGCCTCCCAAAGTGCTGGGATTACAGGCTTGAGCCACCGCGCCCGGCCTAGGCTGGTTTTCTGCCACTTGGCCTCTGACAGCTAGAGGACACTCTTGCCTGCTGAGTGCCTGGCCCACTGAGATGCTCAGTTAACAGGTGAGACTCTATAAGGGGAAGTGACCACCCACAGAAGGACGGCCAGCCCAACAGCCCCTCCCACTGCTGGCAACTGCACTGTGGTTTTCCTCTGGGGAACTGAGCTCCCCCATTGGTGCAAGGTCAGGTGGGCGTATGATCCGGGTGTGGCCAGTGAGGGACTATGAGCAATGAGAGGCAATGGACATCAGTCTTGGTACTTCTTTTCCCCCATGAGGATTTCTTTTGAAATTATTGGGCAAGGCCAGGCACAGTGGCTCACGCCTGTAATTCCAGCACTTTGGGATGCCGAGGTGGGCAGATCACCTGAGGTCAGGATTTCAAGATTTCAAGACCAGCCTGGCCATTATGGTGAAACCTCGTCTCTACTAAAAATACAACAATTAGCTGGGCATGGTGGCGGGTGCCTGTAATCCCAGCTACTCAGGAGGCTGAGGCAGGAGAATCGCTTGAACCTGGGAGGCAGAGGTTGCAGTGAGCCGAGATCTCGCCACTGCACTCCAGCCTGGGGGACAGAGCAAGACCCTGTCTTGAAAAAGAAAAGAAAAGAAAAGAAAAAAGAGAAAAGGAAAGAAAAGAAGAAAGAAAGGAAAAAAGAATGAAGGAGGAAAGGAGGGGAGGGGAGGGGAGGAAAGATGCTCTCTGTCCACTGTGGCGGCTGAGCTGCTGGGGCCCACTGCTGCCACACCCTGGGGAGAGCCACCTCAGTATGAAGACTACACATTCAACAGTACAGGGAGGGGAGGGAGACAGTTCCTAGGACATTGTCAGAAGCCCCAAGCCCCATCCAGGCATGCCAAAAGCTGGAACTATCCTGGGGCTTTTCCTTTTTGTGAATTATCTTTATTTTTGTGGCTAAGCCACTAGATTGTTTTTTCTGCCGCTTGCAATGGAAGCATCCTGGCTGATACTACAAGAGCCCCTGAGCCCCAGCCCTGGCTGGGCCCCGCCCTCCGCAGGAGTGGGCTGCACTCACATCAGGCTTGAAGGGCGGCTCCAGCATGCCGGCTCCCAGCCGCTTGAAGTTCAGCTTCTTAAAGAGGGGGTGCTCCTTCACCTCGCGGGCACTGCCGCCACGACACCCCAGGCGTTCGGCGGGGTCCTTGCAGAGGAGCTGTGGCAAGGCAGGGGTGAGGCGGCCGGGCAGGCGGGTGAGTGGGTGGGAGGGAGGGAAAGGTGCGTCCACCCCAGCCCTAGCTGGCCAGGCTTCCGTGAGCTGCCGTACCTGTGAGCAGAGGGAGCGGGCCTGCGGGGAAAAGCGCTCGGAATACTCCTCGGGGACCTCCTTCACCAGCCGCTCCACCTCCTCCCGCTTGATCTTCTTCTTCCTCTGCTGGAAGGGCGACTGGCCTGCGATCATTTCGTACAGGAGGCAGCCGAGCGCCCACCAGTCAGGGCTGAACGTGTACCGTTCATTCTTTACCACCTCCGGAGCTGGGTGGGTGGCATGGGAGTTAGGGCTGGGCAGGAGGCGGGCAGTGGACCCTCAGGCCGCAGGAACGCCAGCGCACGTTAGGTCTGGGATACACTCAAACCTGTTGGCCGGGCAGGTGCCGTCCCAGCTTGGGGGGGACCTTGGCCAGTAGGAGAGCGCAGGCCCCATCAAGCGGGTGGGTACAGCCCTGCAGGAGGCCATGCCCAGGGTCCCTGGGTCTTCAGATTTTACACAAGAAGTCAGAAATCCGTATTTTGTATGTGAAACCATCTGGCTTACTAAAAACAATTTGACTTAAACACAAATGTAGGCCAAATTGGGCCCACGTGGCTACCAGTTTGCAACTTCTGGATTTAATAACAGTGAGAAGAAGGAAACTCCTATTTTCTGACTACCTCCTACCTTCCAGGGCAGCCCCGTGGGGAGTTTTCCCTGAACTCTCTCTTTTCATCTTCCAGGCAGCCCTGGGAGGCAGGTATGATGAGCATTTTACAGTGGAGCAAAGTGAGGCTGGGAGCAGTGGAGTCTCTGGTTCAAGGCCACGCAACAGGCAAGAGGCGGCGCCTGCAGAGCCAGAACTCTGCCTCCTGTGTCTCTCAGTCTCCAAGTGGAATGTGGGGCCTCATCTTGGCCCCTCCACTGGCCTCCTTCACAGATGGGCACAGGCAGGGCAGGGACTGGGGCCACAGAAACAGATGGAGGGTCTCTCTCCTCCATCCCCCGGTGGCCACTTGCAGGCTGAGCCATAGCAGGGTTTAATAAGTATTTAGCGGCCAGGCGCGTTGGCTCAAGCCTGTAATCCCAGCACTTTGGGAGGCCGAGGCGGGCGGATCACGAGGTCAGGAGATCAAGACCATCCTGGCGAACACGGTGAAACCCCGTCTCTACTAAAAATACAAAAAAATTAGCCGGGCATGGTGGCGGGCGCCTGTCATCCCAGCTTCTCGGGAGGCTGAGGCAGAAGAATGGCGTGAACCTGGGAGGCGACGGAGCTTGCAGTGAGCGGAGATCGCACCACTGCACTCCAGCCTGGGCGACTGAGCAAGACTCCGTCTCAAAAAACAAAGTATTGAGCAAATGAATGACATGGTTTCCCAACTGTGTGCGGCCCTGGCTGAGTCTTGGTCTCCTAAGCTCTAGAAGAGGAGCATTGGTATGGGCCCTTTCTGCTGAGGCCCCTTTTGAGAGAAGACTCCCTGACAGAAGTGGGTGTGGCTGGATGGCTGGATAGTGAGGGAACCCAGGAGGCTGGTGCGCCGGGCAGAGAAGACTCACCCATGTAGCCCACGGTGCCCACACGGCCTTTGATGGTCTGGCCCTCGGGCACGTGCACAGCCAGCCCCAGGTCAGAGATGCGGATGTGGCCTGAATGTGGGTGGAGAAACAGGCAGACCCGTTAACAGGCCAGGCCTCTGCATCTCACCCCACCCTGACCCACCCCAGGCACCCCCACACACCGTGGTCATCCAGCAAGATGTTCTCTGGCTTCAGGTCCCTGTGCAGAAAGAAGAACAGGGTCAGATGCTGCTCAGTCTGCCAGGGAGCCAGATGGGGTCAGCCCCTCCTAGCTCACTTGCCTCCTGGGGCCAGGTGTGGAGCAAGGTGCAAGACTCATTTGCTGCCAGGGCGACAGACAGCCCTGCTTTCCCTGGCAACAGCCTGGATTCAAGGGAGCAGAGGAAGGATTTATAGAGCTAGGACTCCCAGGACTCTCTAGGCGAGTGGAAGGCAGCTCCACCTGCAAGAGGCCTCCCCAATGGCCTTGCTCACCCCTTGATGACTGACTCCGCCTTTCCTCTCCATCAAATGGGACTACTCATCTGTCCCCTGACTAGGCTGCTGTGAGGCTCACAGGAAGTCAGCAACTATCAGAGCCAGGGCGCTCTCTTACCCAGCCCCGTGTGCCAGGCACTCTGTACTTAACTCACTGGGCTCCTCCAACAACCTGGGAAGTAGGAATTATAGTCTATGCTTCCTAGAAAAGGAAGCAGTGTTGGGAGCAGGGAGCTGACTGGCCCAAGGTCACACGGTGGGGGGTGGAGGGGTGACAAAGTCAGGATTCCCCTGTGGGTCCACCAGAGCCCAAAGCCTAGGTCTGGGCCACTCAAGTTGGCCTGGCATGTGAGTTAAGCCAGTGCCACAGCCCCCACACCAATGTCCTTCTGTAGTCTGGCCTGATCGGCAGCCTTGGCCACCTCCGTCCAGGCCCAGCTGCAGTTGCTGGCAGGGAAGGACTAAGCCCCTGGGGTGGCCGAGCCGTCCCAACCTGTACACAATGCGCTCCCGGTGCAGGTCCTCCAGGCCACAGCAGATCTCGGCGGCGTAGAAGACGGCCCGTGCTTCGGGGAAGCCAGCCTGGCCCATGTGGTAGATGTGGAACTTGAGGTCGCCCCCGTTCATCAGTGTCAGCACCAGGCACAGCGCGTCCTTGGTCTCATAGGCGTAGGCCAAGCTCACCTGTGGCCGAGGGGACCCGAGCCCTCAGGCAGGAGCTGCGGGGCGCTTGGCGGCAGGGCTGCCCAAAAAAGCCTTCTCGGTGCCACTCCTTGGGCCCAGCCTGCTCCCCAAGCCTGGCGTCAACACCCCAAACCCGCCCTTCCCGGCATCCCGTGCGGGAGGGTGGGGCCTGGGGGGTAGGGAGGGCCAGTGCGCCAGCATGGCCAAGGGGAAGGGAGAGTCTCCTTCTGTACTTACTACAAACCTACTGTTCACTTTCTCCAGGATCTGCTTCTCGTTCAGCGCCATGGCCTCCCCTTTCCGCTTCTTGATCCGCTTTTTCTCTAGCTTCTTGCAGGCGTACATCTTACCGGTGGCCCGCACCTGGCAGGCACATACCTGTGGCCAGGCAGAGAGGGGCGAATGGAGGCCAGCTGTGCCCTTGCTGGGCATCCAGGGGGTGGTCCAGGGCCCAACACACCCACCCTTTTCACTCTTCCAGGGCCACTGGCCTGGCCACTCACCTCCCCAAAGCCGCCTTTGCCCAGGACGCGGTACTGCCTGAAGGTGTTTTTGGTCACTGGCTGCCTGTGGCAAGGGGTGGGGAAGCGAACGCTGGCTGAGCAGGAGAGCCCAAGACCTGGGAAGAACCCCGGCAACCTGGCCTGTCCCAGTCCAGCCCTCAGGGAGCCCACCTTTCCAGCCACTTCCACTGCAGGAAACGGTTGAAGTAGATGCTGTCGAGGTAGTCGGCAAAAGGGGCCACGCTCAGGTACTCATGGGTCAGCCTAGTGAGGGAAGGCAGGCCCAGCTCACCCGCCAGCCCCTGACATTGCAGGCTGTTGGCTCGATGGGCCAGGCCTCCCATTCTGCACACGCTTAGCCCACAGGTATCATCGTCGGCCAGTCCTCCTGCTAACCTCCGAGTGGGGAGATACACAGCCTGTGCTGAAGCTGTGGGTGCTACTGAGGGGAGGCAGCCTGATCAGGTCACACAGCAGGGGCAAGGCCAGGGCTGGGCAGCTGAGCTCCCTCACCAGCCACTGAGCTGTTCACAGTCTTCCTGACCCCCAGAAGCTCCCTCCTCTGGGCACAATTCCAGGCTTGTGGGCAGGGACAGGCTTACCGGGTGAGTTCCTGGAAAAGGTCTTTGCAGGGCCCCTGCTCCAGCCGCTGGGTGCAGTTCGTCACCAGCTGCCGGGGGACCTCTGGGATGAGGTCAGGACCCTGGGAACAAGCCCCAGACAGGTCAGTGCAGGGGCTCCCTTGGACGGCTACCCACTCCCAGGGGAGAGGGGTCAGGCATCTCGGGCTGGTGCCATGGGAGGCTGCAGGCCGGGGGTGTGCCAGCCAGCCTGGTTGCTGAACTCCTTCCTGCTGCCCACCCGTGAGGCAGGGCACAGAAGAGCCACTGGGAGGCTGCCTGGCCCAAGCCCAGCCCATACCCTGGGCTGCATGCCCGCCGTGCTGCCTGGAGCAGCTCCAGGGCACTCTCTGCCCAGGCTGTGTGTGATGCACGTCTGTGTGAAGAAACCACCCTCAGAGGCCTGACACTGTGGTCACTCCTCTCCCTGACACTGGGCTCTGGCGGATCCTGTCATCTCTCCATCACTGCTCACTCACCGTGTGGCTCAGAAAATTCTGCATTAGCTGCCGCCCACATGCCTTTCGCTTCTCATCCGGGGTCACTTCATACTCAGCCTGCAGGGTGGAAAGCAAAGAAGCTGGAGGTCTGGACAGAGCAAGCAGCAGGTGTGGGGAGGAGGGGCACATGGGGCTGGGACCTCGGCCACCCACAGGGCTGGGCAGGGCTGGGCTGCACTCACCACCCCATCCAGGAAGGCGATGCAGCGGCTCAGCTCCGGCCTCGTGGCACAGAACTCTCGGAACAGCAGGCGCCCAATGGGCTGCCGCTCGCACAGGCTGTGATAGTCACGCTCTGTGGGCAGTGATGGAAGCTGCTGGGTCCACAGCCCCAGAGCACATGGGTGGGGCATTCCTGCCCACACCACCAGGCCCTGGGCCCCCACAACAGCTTCCAGCTCTGCAGTGTGGCAGCCACAGTCTTCTTCGGAACCCTCACCACAACCCTAAGTTGGGCACAGCTGTTTTGGGGCTGTGAGGCCCAGAGAGGCTAACTGACTAGCTCAATGTCACACAGCCAGGAGTCTGGCTCCAGAGACCAGGACTCCACCCACCTCCCTGCATCGTCTCCTGATTTACACGACTTGCGTATGTCCCAGTACTGGGGTTGGGTGCGGTCCGTGAGGTTCCGGCCCAGCCCAGCCCCAGCCAGGCCCACACCTGCTGCCTGCCTGGCGAAAGTGCGAGAGGAAGCTGTGGCTTCCGGCACGCTCTCAGCTGGGCCTCCTTCCCAGGAGGTGGGAGCAGCCCGGGTGTGCTCTGCCCACGTGCAGGCCACCGGGGGCCTCAGCAACCGTGGGTGCTGCTCAGACCTGGGGCCTTGGCCAAGATTGGCAGGAACTGGGGTCCCGAGCCCTTCTGTCCCCTCCCAGGAGTAACCCTGTCACACTGCCCAGGCTGAGGGCTTCTCGTCAAGGCTTTGCTAGTCACCCCTCTGGGCTGGGCCTGGGAGGCTAAGCCCCAGCGTGGAGCTCCCAAGGCAGTCAGTCTGTGGGCTGGCCCAGCGGCCACTCCCTCTGTCTTGTGGACCCTGCTAACCCTAGCTGGCTCTCCTTTTCAAAGTGGTATCAACTGCCCCAATCTGCCCCTGCCCTATTCCTGACACCCGCTTCACCCACCCCCAGCGTGACCCTGTTTGCTGTCTGCTCTCCACCATCCCAAGCCCCGGAACTGAAACTGGGCTGAATGGTGCAGTCCTCATCCTCCTGCTCACTGGATCCCCCAAGCCTGTCCCTCTGCCCCAGGGCAAGGTCTCAGGTGAGGCTCCCCCTGCCCCGGCAGGGGCCCCTGTGTTGGCACCCGCAGGCCCTTCCCAGGCCTCACCGAGGCTGAGTCGCAGCTCTTCGCATTGGCTGATGTGCGGGAACTGCAGCATCTGCCGCCATTTCTTGCTTTTGCCTTTGCGATTTCCACCGCCACCTGTGGGAGCAAGCGGACACTGGGTCTCAGGTCTCAGTGCAGTCCAGGGCCTCTAGGGCTCAGCCAAGGCAGAGCCAAGGCAGAGCCAAGGCAGAGCGGCACCTCAGGCCTTCCCTCTGCACGCTCCAGCACGCCCTTGCTGCGTTCCAGGACACACGTGGTTCTCCTGCTTCAGGTTCCTGCGCTGGGAGAGCCAAGAGAGGCAGTGAGGTCGCTGGGGGAGGACGGTGTTCCAAGAAGCTCCAACAATGGGTCCAACCTCAGCTGCTTCCCACCAGGTAGGAGTTCCCTCAGTGAAGAAAGGGGAGAAGGACATCGCAGTGGTGGGAACTGCAGAAGGCCCAGGAGGGAGAGATTCTAGGCCAGTGGGGCAGGCCTGAGAGATGCACAGGGCAGCCTGGGGACAAGGAGGCTCCCAGGCCTCTATCACCAGGCCCCACATCAGAGCTATCAAATGCTCAAACAAGGCAGGGGCAAGGGGGCTGGCACCCAGGACTCCCCATCCCCTGCACACTGGGGCTTCCCCGGTCCCCTGCCTGCCTTGCTTGACCTCGCAGACACCCCACCTGCAGCGGCTGAGGTCACGGCAGCAGTGGGATTGCCTGCAGAGCCCAACAGGTGTGGGAAACATGGGCCAGATGTGAGATGACCAGGAACAGCGAAGGCCCCTGTGACAGAGGCAGCTGCAGGACACCACCAGCTGATTGCTTGATTGCTGCTAGGAGGGTTTCTGGCTCAGTGAGGCCAGCTCTTCTGATTTTTCAAAAGCAGCTAGAAATTCAGACTCTCACATAAAATATTGGCCCTCATTTTATAAAAAAAAAAAAAAAAACAAAAACAACTCACTGCAGCCAAATAAATAAAATGTGTCAGGGAGCGAGCTAACGTGTGTGGCCTGTGGGCCACCAGGTTGAGGCGGGTGGAAGGGGCCTGAGCCTCCCAGAGCTGGGTCTGAATCTCTGATTCACACCATAGGCCCATCACTTGCTATCTGTGAACCTCAGCTTCTCCGTGTGTGTTATGTGGTGCGTGGGAGGCGCTGTCCACATTAAGTAGGGCTGAGTCAAGAGGTGAGCCCCAACTCCAACAACTCCATGGCAACCTTAGACAACCATTTTCTCATGCTGGGCCTCAGTTTCCCATCTGGTTTTTCAGTCCTGTATCCATCTGGCCTGGGTGAGGGCAGGTGGTGCAAGGGCAGAAGTTGCCTTCTAGGGAGGGGGCAAGGCGAGGTCCCTGGATGACTCCCTGACCTAAGCTGCCTGGAGGAGGAACTACTGCAGAGGCCCACTGAGAAACTTGCTAGAGGCCTCCTGCGAGCATGCCCTGCAGTCATTGCTTCACTGTGAGTGAGCAACAGACCCCCACCCCTCAACCCAGGGCAAGGCCTTCCCAGAAGGGGAACTCCTCCCCCACACCCACAGGTCCCTCACCCAACCCTCCATCCGCCAGCCTTCCACCCTCAGTTACTTCCTCCTCCCCCCTCCCAGCCACATCAAGGCAGCAGCAGAGTCACATGCAAATATCCTGTCCTGGGCTTCCCAGTCAGTGGGGCTCCTCCCCACCCTCCCCATCCCCTTTCAGTGTCCCTGGGCCCACTCCCCATGCCTCTGAGTGCCTGGGAAGAGAAGGGGTACTGAGGGAGGTCTCAAGCCCCAGCGTTGTCCCACTCCATCCTCACAGCAGCTCTGCCAGAGCAGGCCCAATTTCCTATGAAAACTGAGGTTCCGAGGTGAGGAATCGATTCACCCAAGATGACTAAGCCTAGAGGTGACAGGATTGGTACCCAGCTCCCTATGGCCACAACCCAAGCTCCCTTCCCACCCCAAATATGGCTGGCATCTATTAGGTGCCAACTGTATATACACACCAAGGGTTCCCAAACCCCACTTGGGGTCTCAGATCACTCAGGAAGCCATCAAGGGTCCCAGCCCCAAGCTCATGGAAAGCCGGTTCATGAGTTGGTTCTGATGCAGCCCGCCCAGGCGCCTGGGCTCAGGACTCAGTGACAGTCAGGGTTTCCTTTAGTCTTTATATCCCACCCCCAACCGTTCCACAAAAAGGGGTACTGAAGTTGAGAGAGAAGAGACATGTTTAAAGCCATGAAGGTCGGCCAGGCGCGGTGGCTCATGCCTAAAACCCCAGCAATTTGGGAGGCCAGAGGCAGGTGGATCACTTGAGGTCAGGAGTTCAAGACCAGCCTGGCCAACATGGTGAAACCCGTCTCTACTACAAATACAAAAATTAGCTGGGTGTGGTGGTGTGCACCTGTAGTCCCAGCTACTTGGGAGGCTGAGGGAGGAGGGTCACTTGAACCCAGGAGGCGAAGATTGCAGTGAGCCCTGCACTCCAGCCTGGGTGACAGAGTGAGACTCCATCTCAAATAAAAGTCATGCAGGTGGGAGGGGCAGAGCCAGGTTGTGGTAAGAGTTCTCAAGTGGAGGCACCAGTCCCCAGTCTGGCCACACCACCCTGTGCCTTGCCCATGGCCTGACAAAGCTTGTCCAAACGTACCCACACTCTCCGGCCAGGCAGTGCCATCAGCAGGCCTGAGGCCTTAACTGGTTCCAGCTCTAGGGAAGAAGTCCTGTTTCAGCCCTCCCCACCCCTCCTCCCTGGCTCGTTGGATGACAAGGCAGAACAGAATCGGCAGATGCCCCCAGAGGCTGGGAGGAAGGCCTAGCCCATGGGCTCGATAAGGGACAGGGGATAAGACAGGCTCCCCAGGCACTGAGGACCCAGCCTGCCATGCCATTTCTGAGCTGCACCTCGCCAGGGCACTGGGTGGGCATGGGGTGCCAGGTGTGGCACCCAGCTGGAGGTTCCTCTGGGCTTCCTATAGACTGTGCCGGTCATCCTGTGTCTTAGGCCTGAGTCAATCACAATATTGCTGTGTGACTGATGCTAATCCCTGGTTTGAGCCTCAGCTTCTCACGTGTAAAATGGGGCAGAAAGGTGAAGCAGATGACTTTTTAAGCCTGGAAGCCCAGTAAAGGAAAAACTGTCATGATCTCCCTCCTTGCCCTGCAGTTCCAAAAAGAAGAGTCTTGTTTACCGCTGCTTCCCCAGCACCCTGGACAAGGTAGGGCAGAGTGGGTGGTCAGTGATCATGTTACTGAGGTCGGGTGTGGCAGGTGGGGGCAGACTGACCACAGGGCAGTGAGGACCCGGTCTGGTCCTTGTGTTTCTCCCAGGACCTGCACAGAGCAAGTGTCTGATAACATCTGGGGTGGGAGCCACGAGGAGCTACACGCACACTCGGTCCACCAGACTGGTTTCCCCAGTCAGGCCTTTGAACTTACAATACTGACAACGCAGCCTGCTCTGCTCCCACTTCTTTCTGTGTCCGCTAGGCCCACTAGACCATGGGCTCCCTGAGGGCAAATATCCATTCACCTCTGCCCTCAGTGTCCTGAGGCACAGAGCAAGTAGCAGTCCTATAGGTAGCAATTGTGACCAGGAGTTTCCCCAAGTCAGGTGGGCTGTGCTACGCAGAGGGTTCGCTCATTCATTCTCCAGCCTTTACCTAACACCAACTTTCTGCGGGATTAGGCTAGGTGCTGGGGTCTGGGCCCATCTCACGTGGGGCATCTTTACACCTCTCACCTGGAGAGGACTCAGAGAGGCTCTCCTGGGGCTCCGGTCCCACCCTTCCCTCTTCGTCTCTCCTTCTTTCACTCCTTCACCCCCACCCGCCGTGAGGGCGGCGGCCTGACCCCCGCCCCTTCCTGGGCCCCGAATCCCGGGGGCAGGTGCTGAGAAGGAAGACGACGGGCCGGAAAGGCTCGTGTCTGGGCGGGGTGTAGGGCGCAGGGCCCGCGGGCCTAGGGGATTCGACGGCTGAGTAGCCCCGCGGAGCTCAGACGCCGCGCACTCGCGCTCCATGCACCCGGGCCCGGTCGCCCGCCCGGCCGCCTCACCTTCGCGGGCCTTGAGTAGCACCGTGTTCGCTACGATGTTCTCGAGCTCCATGGGCTGTGGCGCCGCCTGGCGCGCCGGGCCGCACCGCCGGCCGGGATCGCGCGCGAGTGCCGAGGCCGGATGGGATCGGCGCGGCTCGGCTCGGCTCGCAGTGACCGCGCCGCGGCCTCCCCGGCCTCCCCGGCCGCCGCAGCCAGCCGCGCACTCTCCGCCCCCTCCCGGGGGCCACCCCGGCGCTGGCCCGCCCCGCCCCGCCCTCTGTTTACCTTACAAGACCAATCACCGGGCAGAAGCTCCCCGCGCCGTCTTCCCATTAGTCTTCCTCTTCCTCTTTCCCCCGCCCCCCGAGCTGGGGACTCGCTCAAAGGAGTATGGGGGCGGGATCAAGCACGTCACCTCTTCCTGGTTGGTCTGAGGGCGGGGTTCAGCCCCTAGGTTCGAATTTCTAGGCTTTCGTAGGATACCAAACTGCCAATTAGGGCCGAGCCCTCAGCCGGGACAACGGAGGTGGGTACTCTGGGGCACGCCCAGGAGGCCGAATGTGTGATTGGGTGAAGAAGACGTCCGTCATCTTAAGTACTGCATTTTGATTGGGCCATCGCCTGAAGGTGTGGCCCGGCAGCCTTTAGCTCGCAGACGGCTTTTCTAGGGTTTTGTTGGGGATGCGCTCCGTATCCTGGGCCTCCTGCGGGCTGGCAGCGAGTTTGTTTGGTCCACTTGTGTGGCCTTATTCCCTTGGGTCGGTCCCAACCAGGAGGGCGCACATCGAAAGAGGGAGAGACAGGGAGGAGGCTGCGGCCTCCGCAGCCGTTCCCCGACCTCTTGCCCGGTCGCCGCAGGCGCCCCGCCCAGCCCCCGCAGCCGGATGTTGTGATTTCTCTCCACCCACTCGGCCTAGTCTTCCCTTGGCCTCTGCTGCCTTATAAGGCAGCGCTACCACCCCTAGACGTTGGGATGAGTTCACACCCGTTATACAG